TTGTATGGAAACCAATTTGACAATAAATTCCATATATAAATAAACAAAAAACAAATACTTTGCTCATTTTGAAATCAAGTTGCCTTTTTATTTTTTTATATTTATATATTCTATATATTTTACATGCAAGTCCTTTAGTAGATATGATTTGTCAATATTTTCTTCCATTCTGTGGGTTGTTTCACTTTCTTGTTGGCATACTTTGAAATACATAAGTTTTTAATTTTGATGAAGTCTACATCTGTTTTTTCTTTTGTTGCTTGCTTTTGGTGTCATAACTAAGAAATCACTGCTAAACTGAAGGACACAAAGATACACTCCTATGTTTCCTTCTAAGAGGTTTATAGTTTAGCTCTTACATTTAGGTCTATGATCCCTTTCCTGTTGATTTTTAAAATATGATATGAGGTAGAGGTACAACTGTTTTTTTTTTTCTTTTTTTTTTGGCACAGAGATATCAAATTGTCCCAGCACCATTTGCTGAAATGACTGCTTTACTCTTTGAATTATCTTGGCAATATTATTGAAAATCAAATGACTAAATATAAAGGTTTAGTTCTAGACTCTCAATCCAATTCCATTGATCTTTATGTCTATCTTCATGCTAGTACCAATTCTGATTACTGTTATTTTTTTGTAAGTTTTGAAACTGGGAAGTATGAATCCTTCAATTTTGTTTTCTTTCGCAAGACCATTTGGCTATTCTGAGTCCCTTTCATTCCACTATGAATTATAGATCAGACTGTCAACATCTGCAAAATGGCAGCTCAAACTTGGAGAGGTCTTATATTAAAACCTGTATATCACTTTGTGAAGTACTGTCTTAACAATATTAAGTGTTCCAATCTATGTACATGGGGTGTCTTTTCATTTATTTATGTCTTTTAAAATTAATTTTCCTAATTATTTTGTTTTTATACTATTATAAATGGAACTGGTCTCTTAATTTTATTTTTGAATTGTTCATTGCTAGTGCTAAGAAATACGATTTTTGTATATTAATTGTGTATCCTTCAACTTTGCTGAACTTATTACTTCTGATAGTATTTTTTGGATGTCTTAGGGTTTTCTGTAAACAAAATCATGTCATTTGAGGACATAGTTTTACTTCTTCCTTTCCCACCTGGGTGACTTTTATTTCTTTTTTGTGCCTAAATGCTCCAGCTAGATCCTCCAATATAATGAATATAAGTGGTTAGAGCAGATGTCTTTCTCTTGTTCCTGACCTTAAGAGGAAAGCATTCAATCTTTTCTTATTAAGTCTGATGTTAGCTGTGGATTTGTCATAGATGCCCTTCATCAGTCTGAAGAAATTCCCTTCTATTTCTAGTTTGTTGAATGATTATATCATGAAAGGCTGGTGGATTTTTTAAAAAAATGTGTTTTTTTAACATCCATTATGATGATCCTCTTTTGGTCCTTTATTCTATTTAATGGTGTATTACATTGATTGATTAGCATATATTAAGCCAACCTTGCATTTCTGTGTTCAATCCCACTTGATCATGGTGTATGCTTCTTTTAATATGTTCCTGGATTCTGTTTGCTAGTATGCTGCTAAAGGTTTTGCATTTATATTTATAAGGGATATTGGTCTATAGTTTTCTTTTCTTGTGATGTCTGTTTTTGGTTTCCATGTCAGGGTAATACTGACCTCATAAAATGAGTTGGGTTCCCTCCTCTTCTATTTCTTGTAAGAGCTTGTGAAGGATTGGTATTAATTCTTCCTTAAAAATTTGGTAGAATGTACCAATTAAGCCATCTGGTCTTGGGCTTTTCTTTGTGCAAAGTTATAAATTATTAGCTTGATCTTGTTAATTTGTGATGTCTTTTAAGAGGGATATAATCAGGGACACTGAACTGTATAGTATAAAAGTGTAAATTTTATGGTATGCAAATTATATCTCAATAATGCTGTCATGAAAAAAAGAACATATGTACAGAACTCTATATTTGGTGTGGTGGACTGCATATGTTCCCTCATCTCTGTTTCAGCTCAAATCCTCTAAAATGATAGTTAAGAAATACATATGTCCACAGAGACAAAGGAAATAGGAAATAAGAACACAGTAATCAGAAGAGGTGAACAAATTTTGAAAGCTTTCATGGTGACTGACTTAATATACTTGAGAAAGGTGACAGCCAAGAGCCTTTGGAAGTGATAGCAACAGGAAGCAAGGATTTCAGAAACTGTAGGCATCACCAGGTACCTCTGTGGGACTGGGATATGAGGGCTAAAACCAGGAAGATTGATTGACAGTCTCCCTAAGATCCCTTCTGCCATCTCATGTCCCTGGGTGACCAGGCTTTCCCCATCCTGTCAGAAGACTGAGGGCTGCTCTCTGGAGTAGCTGATTACTGAGATCTGTTCTCAAGGATACAGCAACATATGAGGGTGGACATGCCAAAATGAAAATAGGCACCGATACAAAGTTTACCTGCTAAACTGGAAGGTCCCCAGACCCTTTGTGTTATTTGGTTCCCAAAATATTGGCAGGCTACTCCATCCCTAGGAAGGGTAAATGATTCCTCTCTCAGGAAATAGACAAGCCCAAGAGAACACACCAGTAGCTATAGGAATTAGAGGATGCTCTGACCCAATGACCAGACCCTCTTTAGTCAGCTACAGGGAAGCCTGCTGGAGACAAGCCTTGCACACATATAAAGCTTCTAAGTAGCACCAGAGCACTTCACTTTCAGACCCAGGACTGACATCCAAAAGTCTGTACATATAGGAGGAAAGTCTCTAACTTTTGTCTCTAACTTTGTTTCCTGAAACAAATAAAAACAGGGCAAGTTTCCTGGAAAAAAAAAAGTAACTTGACAGTACCCAACAGATTTGACCTTGAGGAATGCTGGAAGGAGAGATTTATTACAGAGAGGTAGTAGGAAAGCCTAGCCAGATTTAAAAACCGAAAGGAAATAAGAAACATGCAAATAACAAAAGGAGCAATTAATTCCAGGAAAAAACAAAGTTCTACAAGAAAGGAAGTGTAGTAGCATAGTAGTTGGGTCACCACAGTATTTACCTAGCTGTAATAAAGAAGAGTTGATTACCAATTTAAACAAGAGTGTATGCAAACTATATTGGAATAAAGAAACCACCTATATTGGAAGAAAGAGAGGAAAGATGTGTATGTGTGTGTGTGTGGGGGGGAGGAGGAATGATACAGAAGAATCACCCTCCTCTTTCATGGGAAGAAGAAAATAGATAATAACTGACAGTTAAAATTTTATTTATCATTTTTTTTGACAGTTAAAATTTTAAATGGCAGTAGAAACTTGAAGAACCGCAAAAGAGTTCAAAGTGGCTGCTTTTGGGGAGTAGCAATTGGACATGGGTCAGGTTGAGGCAGGGAACGACCATTTTATGTTATAAGCTTTGTAATATGTTTTGACTTTTAAGACCCTGTATAATTAAAAATTTAAAAACCCACAAAGTTCTGGGTATAGTGCTTGCACACAGCAGGCTTTCGATAAATGAATGACAAATTTAAAAATAAAAAATTTATGTATATATATTGTTGTTATAAAAATAAAACATTTAATTAAAAAGTAAGAGAATGATGCTAGCCTGAGCTTTTGGATGCAAATCAGTTAGTATAACACATGTGATGAAAATGCTCTAGAACAGCCAACACTGGATTTTCAGGCTCCACACCCCAGCTCAAGCACTGCTTGACTTGGATGTGAGCTTTGGGCTCTGGCTAACTTTTGGCTCACTTCAAGGGCTATCAAAGTTCATCCCTCCAAGAAGATAGGCTGACATTATGGCAATGAGTTAATGATAACAATCTGCAGAGATCCATGTCTGTGGAAAGGCAGGCAAGATCAAATACTAGCAAGTGACGCCTAATACTTATTAACTGATACAATATGATTAATAAAGGTCATGCAAATGAAAAACAATATAATGCATTATTATGAAATGCAAATGCTGTGGTTCTGAATGGAGGCAGAGCATACAACTAAAATTTGCAATAGTTTGCTCGTCAAGGGATGAACTTAGTAGCACATTCTAAGGCAAAGACATAGCCCCAGTAGTTTGTCAGCAGTGATACCACTGGAAGCTTGGGAATGCTCCCTTTTCTGGATCATGGCCCATTTCTCTGCCCTATCTGCCCTGGTGCTCTGGATCTGGAGTCTGTAGCCAATGGGTAGTGCTCACTTTTGCTCTCTACAGGTCACTTCCAGAAATACATTTTAATGAAAAGTTGCCATTATTATTATTATTATTATTATTATTAATTATCATATAGTTATTAAACAGTAGAGTCTGATTTTCAGGGGCAAAATATAAGATGAGTGTTGAGTTCATAAGAAAGGGAAGAATTCTGGTTTGCTGACAGCTATTATGGCCTAGAGCAGTCTCTCATATAGGGACATGGTCACAGGGCTGCTATTAGTGAAAACTTGCCAGTGTTACTGAGGTCTGGGTGTGTAAGAACACTGCTGGCTTTCAGCTTTGGGAAGCCATACACTCACAGCTGTAAAGTGGGGCTGGTGAACCCTTCACCCTAGGCAGAGCTGGTCACTTGTACTTGCTCCCCTGGCAGGAGAAAGCCCCTGGTCAGTCTTAGCTGCATGTTTCCTTTCCTGGGTGAAAAGTCAGTTCTGAGGTAGGTTTGCTGCCTACCTTGAGTTCATCTTTGCTCTGGAAGTTGTCCAGGAGGTGCTGGTAATGGGTGTCACACATCTGGCGGAGCAGCGAGAGAAGGCAGGACACATACTCACCCTGGGGACCAACCGAGAAAACACTTGGTGCAACTAATCACAAGAGCTGTGTTTCCCCAATCCACAGAGGGCAAGGAGAGAAGGAAGGGTCTGAGATGGCCCCAATGATCATGAAAGGGAAGGTGAGAACTCTGGCCCTGAAAATGAGTTTTGCTTTCTGCTAAGTTTTCTGAAGGGCTTGGGAGTTTTAATAAGACTTCTGTAGCATGGGACTAATGGTAAAACCCTAACCTATAACAAAGAAATATTGCAAAGTGAGACAGCAAGTCTCGGTTTTTTCCCTAGGAAATTTTTGGCTACCCAATCCTTTGTCACTATATATTGCCAGGCCATTGTACTGAAGTTGAAAGGGATTACTCAGAACAGGGTGCTTGGCCTTCTCTGGGCAGAATGTGGGCTCTTCCCATATTGCTCCAAGATGGGATGGCCCTTCTTCAAAATTCTTCTGGGGACCTCGTAGAGCTTACATGTGGTTACTGGAACAGGAAGATGGAACAAAGTAGTTCGACATAACTTTCTGGAAAGTAGAGTCAAAACTGACCTTTATGAGAAGGTGAATTATGGGCTTTAAGATAAGTAAAAATTTATGGATACAAAAATAAGCCTTTAAGATTCCTTCAAGTTCCAACTGGGATAACATGGAAGAAGACCTTGTTTTAAGGACTCCAAGAATTTTACCATCTTATGGCAATTTTTGGCATAGGGAAGCTGACCAAGTATTTTTAAACTCATGGAAATTTGACAATATTTTTGGCTCTCAAATCATTTCTAGACACATGAAATTATTCTACAAATGTATATGTGTAGAACATATACATGTATATGAACCTCAGTTTTATCTGAGCATGGGCATAATAATAGGCATAATAAGCTATAATTCCTAGATTTAGTAGGAGGATTGGAGGAATGAATGCACATAAAACTTTTCAGTGAAAAAGTCCAGTATGTAAAGGAAGTGCTCAGTAAATTATGCAGTTATTATTATCTTCATTAAAACTATGTAATTTAGTGTTGCTAACTGAGTTAATATTTGTAAAGTGCATAAAGCAGGGGTAGGCCTATAGCAAGCATTGTGTAGTTGTTGGTCAGAAGGATGGGTTACCAGGACATACCAGGGTACATGTTTTTACCTATAGTGAGAGTGCTCTCAACAGGAGATCCAAAGGGAACATTCTTTCTAAGCCCAGTGCTTCAGAACACATGCCTGCTCTATGTTCCCCTTTCCCTCCCTAGCGTTTGGCTAGCTCCCACAGAGAATTTGCTTCAAGGAAACCACTGCAGTCTCTCACCTGCCAAATGGAAGAGTCCGTGCAACCTGTTTATTGTGTTCTGCCATCAGGGGTAAGAAGTCCACTCTGGGTGGAGGAGTGGGAACTGTCTCTCTGTCCCTCCCGAGACGTTTCCCCAGGCTGTTTCTCTTCTAATTGTCCAGTAATGCCAGTGCAATTCTAACTCATCACATTTTTTCCTGATGCTAGACATTTAGATACAAATGTTGTGGACAAAAATAACTAGTTTGTAGATACAACCAAATTCTAAGAAAATTATTCTGTTGTGCACATCATTTAGGAGAGCCTGCTACTAGAAGGAATATTCCATTTTCCCCCTTCAATCTCTTACTGCATCTCTGCTCCACTCTACAGAACAGGAAATGAGTTGGCACAAAGGCAAAGGCCAACAGAGACAGTGTGCAGGAAAGCGAGACAGGGAGCATTCCCCACATCTGCCCTAGAGTAGACTTCTGGGACTACAAACATAGAGCCTTCAGAGTGGAGACAGGAGCCAGATGCGAGAAAGGAAGAAGGCAGCATGCTGACAACCATGCAGGGAGGTGGAGATGAAGGTGGTGCTATGAGGAGGTGGGGTTGGTGTGGAGGAGCCCCAGGTTAGAAAAGAAGGCAAGAAAACCTGAATGTTAGTTACTAACAGTGATCTCGGCTGTGCACTGCGGGCACCGCTGCCCTCTTACCGCCTCCTGAGCGTGCGATTTGCTCATGATGGTGAGCAGAGTCTGCAAGAGCACGTCCAGGAGGCTCTCCACCATCATTTCTACCTCCTCCATGACATCTGCCTCCTGGAGCGAGCAGTGAGAGAGCACACCGTTAGCACCAACCTGGCTGACGTGCAGCTGGCAGCACTTACAAAGTGTGTGGCATAAGGAGTGGTCTTCTGATTGGACTCTCAACACTGAGCTCTTGGCCTCACTAGCATGAGATGTCAAGGAACCTGGGACAACAGCTCTGAGAAAAGGTGAGGCAAACCTGTCTCTGTTGCCCTGGTATGGTAGCCGGGTCTTCGCCTAACCCAGCACCACTTGACACCCACAGTTCTGAACCTCAGGTAGATACCTTAATTTCAGTATACAAGGCAGAAGCAAAGGTCCTGAAGTACCTGTTTACCTTGATTTCCCTAGAAGAGTCTGGAGAAAGCACAACACTGCTAACACTTTGAGAAAATGGTATTCATGCCACAAGGTGTGGTGGTGGCACCTTCAGGACTGCTAACACACACCTGAATGCACATAGAAGTATTTCAGTCTTTAAAAGGAATGTTTTCTTCTCAGGGCTTTCTCCTTAGGTGATCTCAAGCTTTGCTGGCCCCACTGTTGCTCAGATATGTCTACATCTCTCTTTTGAGCTTCTCAGCATTCTTGCTCATGTTTCCTGGTCCACCTGAAGGACTCTGGTCTCAGTGTGTCTTTCTCAGGCAGCCTCACAAAAACAATGGCAGGCCCCCACTAAGGGCTGCTTCTCAGCCACCACACTCTGAATTTAGGAAGTGTCTGTGCTGTCCTTCTATAGACCTCTCATGTTGAATCTCAAATCTTATAGCCTAATTTTATTTATCTCACAGAGATTCCCACTGTCCCTTCTCCAGCCTCTTTTTATTATTACTGGTACAAGTGTCTATCTGTCCATCCATCCACCAACCCATTATTCATTAAGCAGTTACCATGTGCCACTCACTTTTTGTGAATCTGAGTATACAAAGGTGAACAAGGAAGATAGTATCTTTATGCTCATGGAGCTTAAATTCCACCCCAATCCATTCATTCAATATAATTATACTGTGACCCATTCCACATGAAGAATTGGAGCAACTCTTGGTGCTAGAGTCATCTTTATCATCTGCTATACTGATCGCTAACACTCTCACCTGTGATGTCTCTCTGACTAGTTGTAAGCAACTAATTGCACCTGACTCTAGTACCACAGATACAACCAGACCATCTCTTTCAGGTTTTAACCTGTTTCCATTCCTTCTCCATTCCTTTCCTTCCCTTTATTTTCCCTTCAATTTCTCTCCTTTATTTAGCAATAAGTCTCCCACTTCCTCAAGTCTGGCCTTGGGCTGCTAATAGACCTTATGTGCTTGGTGTTGCCTCTCTGAGGCCTGGTGGGAAGGAGAGCTGCCAAACCTTGCCTGGAGCCAAGAGCAAACAATAGGGCCACTACAAGCACCATAGGCACTCTGCCAAGCAGGGCCCTGTCACCAGATGGTACTTTAAGTCTGGACACCAAAGCACCCTATTGAGGCCCTGTATCTCACTCAAACCAACCACACTCTTTTTTTTTTCAGGACCTCTCCTGTTCCACATGGATAGCCTAACCTTGCACTCTTATCACCTGTCTACTGGCCTTCATTTTATTTTATTTATTTTGTATAGAAGAGTATCTATGTAACTTTATTCTAGGAAAATACATAGAAAACAGTAACCATAAATGAAAGGACATACATTCTGTTGCATTAGAATTAATTATTCTGTTTATCAAGAGAAATAGCAGCAAAAATGAAAAGACAGCCACAAAATGGGACAAGATTTTGGATATGGATATAACTGACAAAAAAAAAAAAAAAAAAAAAAAAAAGACTCATCTAGAATACTGGCCTTCATTTTAAATACAGTTGTAATTTTATTCTCCAGAAACCTCATCTCCTCTTAAGATGTTGTAATAAAAAACTCATTCTTGTTCTTAATTTCTTTCTTTATACTTTCCTATAGTTTACAAATTTTCTCTAAGAAATAACCATTTTTCCTATTACCATAAATATATAAAACAAATATCATTAAAATAAATTCCTACCTTTATTCATGCCTGATACATGTCTTTCCTTCCTTCCTTCCCCTCCCACCATATATCTCTTTTTAAAAGAAAAAGTAAAGAGGAAAGAAAATAGGCAAAAGCAGTACCAGTTGAAACCTCATCTTTAAAGTCCAACTCTATCATCCCATGAGGCTCAGAACTCTTGTGGGCAACAATTATCTCTCCTATGTCCTGACCTCATCTGGCATGGTATGGAATGTCATATGGGTGGAATCAAGCTGCCAGGAAGCTGACAGAAAAGTCTGAATGAGCAAGCTGCCTCTCAGCCTGGGCTTGCCTCCCTGTGCTTGTGCCTTAGTATCCTCAGAACACTCTCAGGAACATAGGATTAATACCTTTTGATAATAACAGAATATGGCACAGGATTCGGCTTTCTGGTATTAAAGAGAACTACATTTCAGAAATGCAACTTTTTCAAATAGCAAAACTGTGTTGTGTTGAGAAGCCTGCTCAGCATACACAGGCCTCTGCTCACTTGAGCACCTTCCTGCCACTGATGAAAGCTTCTCTGACTGAGAAGTGTACAAAGTGATCTTTGTTGGTCTGCCTCTGGTTAAAGTAATACAAGACTGGGGCAGAGCTGAGGGGAGATGGAGTGGGCATGGGGCCACTACCAGAGAGCTGGTCTTGACGATGGAGAAGATGCTGCCAAGAATCCCTGAGCAGATCAGCAGCTCCTTCTGCTGCCTCAGGTGAAGGTGAATGTGATGGAGAACCACAGGAAGCAGGATGCGGCGGGATTCTGAGAGAGAAAACACAAAGGTGAAGAAGCCCTTTAGAGAAGAACTAGCTACTTCTGGGAGCCAGTGACACTGCGAGACTTAACTGGTCTCAAAGCAAATGGGGTTGAAACTGGTGCGAAGATGGAGGCCACTCCCTTCCCTTATGAGGGCCAAAAAGCCCACTTCCTGGACATTATAAGACATCCCACAGCATTATCCTTCCATTTCTCTTTCCTTCTTTCTCATTTTAAGCCTCAGTATCTATGGTATTTTGTGCAGGATGAATGTTAGGAAATTGCTCCCAAATGAAATCTCTTTAATGACTAGATCCCAAATTAAAAGCATAGCTTACACTGAAAATTCCATTCAATTGACAGACCTAGTTCTATGAACTACACTGATTGAACCTGCAGACCTGCTATGCATTATAAACGGTCGCTCTTTATGATGCTCTGACTAGTTGGCCTGGCACTTCCCCCTTCCCCCCATGAGCATTTACTTTGTGGCAGCCATTAGGTCTACCTCCTTTTCCCCTTAGGCTTAGAGGACAAGCTTGGCATGCCCACAGCAATGAATGGAATAGTAGCAGGATTTTGTCTTCTCATAAGCCTTTGATAATTAGCTAACCCTTACTGCCAATCCTAAGTTTTCTCCTCCCTGTTAACTGAACAACACTATCAGGAGACAACTATATTTAGGACCCTGACAGGGGCATCTGGGTGGCTCAGTTGGTTAAGTGTCTGGCCCTTGGTTTTGGCTCAGGTCATGATCTCACAGTTCAAGAGATCAAGCCCATTATCAGGCTCTACGCTGACAGCCAGGAGCCCGCTTGGGATTCTCTCTCTCCCTCTCTCTCTGCCCCACCCCAACTAGTGTGTGCATGTGCACGCTCACACACACACACACACACACACTCACACACTCTCTCTCAAAATAAATAAATAAACGTAAAAAAAAAAGAGAACCCTGTCAGGAAGGCTGAATCCTAGTTCAAGATCTTTTATTAATTCATCCTAAGACCTTAGGCAGGCTGATTCCTCCAATGGGCTTGATTTTTCCTATCTGTACAATGAGGTGCTAATTGGATTTACTTCACAGGTGTGGTGAGAAGACAAAGTGAAATACAAGTGTGAACATGTTTGTGATGCTCTGCACTCCTATGTGGTCAGTGACTGTGTGATTCTACAGGTACCTTCATACCTGGCCAGCAGGATTTAGTCAGATTGTCAGTAATACAAACACACCAGGGCATTTTGGATTTATTGTTCACATTTGACCACAGTTACATGTTTCAGATAAAATTCAGAAAGAAAATCTTTTTTTTAGCCAAAGACAAACTACATGACATACAAGAGATTTGGGGGTTGTCTGGTCAAATACTTAGAATATAAAATGGAATGATAGCTATTCTATGTTTAAAAGGATGTGTAGACAAAAGAGAAGTTCATAATACATTTTGCAGACCAAAATTATACCAACATAGCAGGATTTATATCAACCAATAACTATATGCTGAGAAAATAGCAGTTTATTACTGGAACCAGCTGAAAAGACCAAACTGATGTGCTCTGAGAATATAAGTGTTGCTTAAGAGACACCACCTTAAGGTGCTGCTTCAAGGAACATGCTGCAACTCAAGAATTCAGTGAAATTGAGATGCAAATGAGAATCTGGGGGTGGCTTGTCATCTCAAAATCCAACTACATCGTGTCACTGCCACATAAAGTTTAAGAACAATTTTTCTTTCTTTTAAAAAAATTTTTTTAATGTTTATTTGTTTTTGAGAGACAGTGACATGGCACGAGTGGGCGAGGGGCAGAGAGAGAGAGAGAGGGAGACACAGAATCTGAAGCAGGCTCCAGACTCTGAGCTGTCAGCACAGAGCCTGACATGGGGCTCGAACTCATGAGCTATGTGAGATCATGACCTGAACTGAAGTTGGACGCTCAGTCGACGGAGCCACCAAGGCTGCCCAAAGAACAATTTTTCTTAAGTGATTATGGGAAGCAGCAAGTGCATGCAATAATATTAGAAATAAAGGATGTCAGTAAGGGCAGTCTGATGTCCCCCTTCCCATATATTCAGAAAGCATCTTTAAACAGTGCACAAAGCTTGAATGTGTGCAGTGGCCTCAGTGTTAATGTGTCCAAACTAGTGATAAAATCTTTAATCTAGGAACTGAGGAAGAGAGAAGTGTTTACCATAAATAGCTACTGGTAGAGAAAAGATGACTCTCCTGGTTGCAGCTTTGCCATGAATAATACCTTACATTGGCAGAGTTAAGTTAAAGAGAACATTTATTTAGTATTGCAATTATGTGTAGCACTTGGTTGAGAAATTACTGTTCATATACTTTAAAAGTCCAATTTAAAAATTTTTATTACCAAAAATTATAGTTATAAAAATTCTAATAATAATTGTTTTTCTCGAATTTCAGATTTATTCCTGTGCCCTAGAAATTTATTCTGATTGTAACATTCCATTTAAAGGATCAGTTTCATATTGATCGTAACATTTGGCCACTGAATATTTGGTACCACTGCCAGGATGATCTCTTGAATGTGGTTGCAGGTGTGAATCTGCAGGTTCTTTCTGAAAGGCAATCTGGGATGTTGATCATTTGTTAGTCTGTCTTGACCTCTTAGGGAGTATGGAAGGCTCACTGTCCATCTCTGTCTTTCAAAGACAGGAAGTGAATCTATGTGAATGGTGAGATAAGGAACAAAGAAAACACAGTCGGTCCTCAGGGCCCCCTTTCAAGATCTCTCTTATTTCCTTGACTTATCCTTATCCCCATTGGGATCCCCTTCTCTCTTGTTCCCCCTCCTTTCCATCTTGCTGGGTGTGGGGGAAGCTGGCTAGGCTTGTAGGCCTAGAAGTTGCTCCACAGGCCACCTCATGGGCATGCCCCAGGGTGTGGGTCCCTAGGGATAAATCATGAGTGAGGCAGTAGGCCTAGATCTTGGCTGTAGTATCTAATGGAGTTTACCCAAAACTCTGAATTTTTAGGGCCACAGGCTTCTTGCATGATGGTTGATAAAACTGATCCTTTGATTACCACTTGACAACACCCTGGAAAGGAGGAAAGGTGAGTCTGATTCTCATCCCAACTTGATTTACCTGAGAAAGAAAACAGGCGGCTATCCACGGTCCTGGCGATGGACTGCAGCTTCACCACATCCATTGACTGCCCAATGTGCACAGTGCTGGGCATGCTCCCCAGAGTCCCTCTTACAAACTCTGCCACCTCCTGCACGGTGAACATTTGCAGCAGCTCATCAAAGATGGTTGGGAAAGAATTGAGGAGTGCAGCCTGCAGAAGCAAGTGAAGCTGCAGTTAGCACAGAGTTTGTTGTCTGTCTTTCTCACATGCTCAGACAATAATAATACAAGAGGCTGAAAAGGCATTGTAGCACCCCTGTCTCACATGAGCTCCTCCCTGGCCTTTGACTCCACACATCCCTACAGCACCCTTGGGGCATAGAACAGGGAGGAGTACAAAGGAAACCAAAACAAAATTTGCTGGGGCCCAGGCCACTTGAAACTTTCATAACTTGCCAGCATATTTGCTGGCAAGAGAAGGGAATATAAAAAGAAATCAGCTCAATATGGTTTAACAGCCATAGCTATTTTGTTTACAAAATGGATTTAAATTTTTTGTCTGTCTCTATGATCAAACACTTGACTTTCTAATTTTGGTCTCAAATTCAAGCCAGGAACCTCTCAAAGAAACTATAGCAGAGAGAGCTGGGCACCACCAAGCAGCATGAGCTGAACTCCATTCACAGCCCTGTAGCCAGCAATCCAGCTCTGTGAGCTGGACCATTTCCCCCAGGATGGACACATTTATCTGAAACCATGAAATCTGAAGACTTTATAAATGATGCCCTTCATCTGTGATGCTTGGCAGTCTCAAGTGTAAATCCAAAAGGATGGAGACTGTATGGATTTAGTCAGCTATGAATTCTTGACGATTGATGATTATGTTGGCATAGAGTTCAGCAACCTAGATGGCCTTGGGCATGGTCAGGAGTCTGTGTGTTTGGAGACTTCTCTTCATGGATCTTGGTTCTGGTAGACCCATGAGGTAGACTCTTTATGATAACCTGATAATAGTTCAAGAGCCTTTTACAGGCAGAGTAGTATAGGTGAAAGAGAATGGCTTTTGGAATTAGACATGAGTTCAAATCTCAACTTTACTACTTATCTGTCGCATCACCTTAGGTGAGTTATTTGCCTAATATCGGTTTTCTTATCTATAAAATAAAGATGATGATATCACTTATCTCCTGGTATTGGCATGAAAAAAATTAGATGCATGAAGTTAGTTTCCAGTTAGAGTGCTTGGCACATCATTGGCTTTCAATAAATGCTGGTCCTCATTCTCTCTTGTCTACATGGAAGCAACATGAAGAAAGCTTTTCCACTTCTCAATACTCTTACATTATTAACCTAGAATTCACAAAGGGTAATGAAATGTCACTTTGAGATGAGAAGATGAGAGTGTACTTTTCCTGCGTGGCAGGTAGTGAATGGGAGGCTGTTTTCCTTGACTGCTTTATCAAGCAGGCCTAGAGTGAGTAAAAATGTATGCCATGGGGAAACATGTCTGTCATTCTACAGTCTATGCTAAGGCCAGGCCTAAGAATAGAACTTACATGAATTCTGCTCAGGCCAGGCCCAAGAATAGAACTTACATGAATT